TACTGAATAAAGTCAAAAATTATTGTTTAATTCAGCTTTTTTTCGGGATATTTCTGCATTGTCCGGTGTTTCACTTAGTTCCGCTATTATTTGTATTATTTTTTAGCCATCTTTGTACTTGCGTTTGTAGCAAAAAAGTTCTAATGTATGTCAATGATGTTAAAATTTTTTGCTTGTTAGATTTCTATGTAGAGGTGGGGTTTTTGCAGTCAAATCTACACGGAGTAGTTTCAGAATGCTCGACACATTGCATGTCGCTTAATTTATAAAATTAGGAGGAGGAGGGGAATAGGTGCTCTCCACCCTTAGTATGGGGGTGGCACCGAGGGAGACAATTCTACGAAGCCTAGGGATAGGCATTAAGACCGATTCCGGTAAAGTATTGATTATGTCATACCGGAACACTTACTTGAATCGTTGATTTTGAGCTGGTGGTGGCAGTACCCCGTTACCTGAGTTGGTTGGAGTGACATCCAGCCGAAATGGCTTTGGGGATAATGCTGACACCGCCTCCGCCCCGTTAAAATTATGGCAAGTCTGGGAAGTACGTTCTAGGCCTCACTGTTAAGTTGGAGGGTGTAGACCCTGGCTAATGCTTGACCTGGCAATGAACGCTAGTCTCAATCTCAACCCACTGCATGGCCTGACTGCTTGCAAAGATAACCATGGGGTCCTAACAGCAGCTACACCAGCGGAAGCGGATAGCGGCTTCCTAGTTGGGGCTCAATTCCAATTAAAATGACTACTACTAACCTAAAAGCAAACATATTAACAGGCACTACGGGCCACGCCGGTGCTTTTAGTGAAGAGAATCCCTTCAAAGTAAGCGAGAGAACAATGAGGTCGCGAGTAGGAGTGCAAACGCACCCTCATATCGGACAAAGGCTCCCAGGGACGTCAAATCACACACCAGAGGATGTGGGGAACGTGGAAGCCTTCGGAAGGCTGGACGACTACATAAAAGATTTGGTAAAGATGCTGCAGGAAAATGATGGAAAGAGGCAGCATATAAACCAACAAATCCGCGACACAATAGACGGCATCAAAACGACGTATGAAAAATGCCGCATTGATAAGGACGCCGCACGCACTATTCGCAAAGAAGGATAAGAGTCTCCAAACTTCGCTGCGCACATATGCCCAAAAGGTGATGGACCATAGCGACGGGGGCACGCAAAGCACGCCGCTACACAATGCAAACGGGCAGAAACGAACGTAGCCTGGGGCGCGCAATCGTAAGCAGCCCGCGGATGTGGACATGCCGACCTCCAACGGTCGTAACGTAACCATAACCGGGGCTGCCGAACAGCACACGGCAGACGTCCCTAACGGCCGTCACCCACCGAAGGACTTTAAGTGGGTGAAAGTCAAAGCGAAACCGAAGAAGAAAAGAAATGCAGACCGGCCAAAAAGACCTCTCAAGGGTAGACCCGATGCTATTGTCATAGCAGCTAAAGGCGAGCTCACCTGTGCGGATATGCTCCGCAAGGTTAACGACGAACTGCAAATAAGCCAATTTGGTGAGGCGGTGCAGAAAATAAGAAGAACGCAGAAAGGCGAGCTTCAACTGCAACTAAACCAGAGCGGAGGAAAGGCAGAAGAGCTGAGAGTGGCAGTGGGCTTCTTTCTAGGAAGGGAGGCCAAAGTTTGGTGTCTGAAGCAACGCAGAGTGGTCGAGTGCAAACACATCGACGAAGTCAGCACCAGGGAAAACATAAGCAGCGCACTTAAGTCCCAATATGGGGTGACATCCGCAGAAGTGGTTAACTTAAGGAAAGCATATAGCGGCATGCAGACGGCGCTCATTAGCCTACAGCAGGAAGAAGCCGCTAAACTTTTGGCAGTTGGAAAACTGCGTAAAGGCTGGGTGATCTGTAGGATCAAAGAGGGCATACCTTTGTTGAGATCTTTCCAATGCCTGGAGTATGGGCACATAGCAAAGCAATGTGCAGTCCCATCTGACCGGTCGAGGGCGTCTCGGAGGTGTGGAGAGGGAGGCCATATTGCGAAAAACTGCACTAAGGAGCCTCCTTGCATATTCTGCAGGGGGACGCCGAATGTGGGCGCAAAGCACGTGGCGGGAAGCGGGAAATGTCCACTGTTAAAGCAGGCACTGGTCAGTAAAGCGCAGAAATGAGAACAATGCAGATTAATCTCAACCACGGCGAAGCTGCTCACGGCCTACTTCGGCAAACAGTCGTTGAGAAAGAGGTGTACCTGGTACTACTGAGAGAACCATATCGAAGGACAGGGCAGAGTACCTGGGTAACCGATGCGTCCAAAAAAGCAGCAATTTGGGCGCCCACTCCTATAGTACTCTTGGATGTGGGCTGTGGGCGTCAGGGCAACAGCTAAATATATATGCTGCTACAGTTGCTACGCTCCTCCAAGCTGCACACAAGGTCAATTTCAACACATGCTAAATTTACTCGTGGAACACGCTCAGGGAAAGCCGTCCGTACTAATTGCGGGGAATTTCAATGCTTGGCCCTTTGAGTGGGGCAGTAAGGCCTGCAATGCGAGAGGACGCAGCTTGCTGGAGACATTCGCCATGCTGAAAGTATCTCTTCTGAACGATGGGCGGAGAGATATGTTTCGTAAGGCCTCGAAGAAAAAATACAGGGAGAAAGGATCTCCATGCTATTGGTGGACCGATGAGATAGCGTCCTTTAAAACGAACTGCTTAAAAGCCAGAAGAAAAGTGCAGCGCTCGAAAGGGAGGGCAAACAGTAATGAACTGCTCACACTCTACAGAGACTTGCGCAGTGACTTAAAGAAACCCATAATGGCTAGCAAAAGTAGAAGCTTTGAGGATATATGCCAGGATGCTCTTATTATCCCGTGGCATATAAAACCGCCGTAAAGAAGTTCAAAGGACAGAAAACGCGGCAAATCGCGTATCCGCTAGCGCTCCAGCGAATAGTAGTAACGCTTTTTTCGCAAAGGCCGCCGCATGTGTTGATAAACCTCCACGGCAGAGAAGAGGAAGCAATACCAGCAAATACTACTGACGACCTTTTAAGCGCCTGCAAACGGATTGGGGGCAAACAAACCCCCGGCCCAGACGTCCCAAACAAGGCCTTAAAGGCAGCGATACCAAGGAGGCCGGACGTCTTCATGACGATGCTGCAAAGGTGTCTGGAAGAAAGGACATTCCCAGACGAATGGAAAGTTCAAAGGCTGGTCCTTATTCCGAAGGCCAATAAGCCACTGAACGAGCCAACGTCACTCCGACCCATCTGCCTCTTGGACGTAATGGGCAAGATATTGGAAAGGGTTGTATACGATCGCCTGCTAGTTGTAGTCGAAGAAAGGCGTGTTCTCTCGGATAACCAGTATGGATTTGGAGGAGCGCGGTCTACGATAGATGCCATAAGCCATGTCGTGGCGCTTGCCTCAGACGCTATAGCCAGAGGCCGATGGAGAGGCGGTGATAAAAAGTACTGCGCCGTCGTTATAAGAATGCGGGTTCCATACTTGAGATAATAACAAGCTACCTTTCGAACCGCACGTTAGTGTATAATAGCGATGAAGGAAAACAATCGCATAAAATAACGGCGGGTGTCCCACTGGAGTCAGTCCTCGGTCCCCTCCTGTGCAACATAATGTAATGTAATGTAATGTGCCGGAGTAATTATCGTCGGCTTTGCCGATGATATAGCAAACGTAGTGGTTGCAAAATACTTTGCGCAGGTAGAAGCGAGGGCTAACGAGGCTATCGTTAAAGTGAAGGCGTGGCTAGAAGGGGTAGGGCTGGAGCTAGGAGAGCATAAAACGGAAGCGGTTCTAATAAGCAGCAGGAAACGGGCGGAAACATGCTGTATACGAGTCGGGCAGCTCACGGTGCAGTCATCTCCTGCCCTGAAATACCTTGGAGTTATGCTCGAACATCGATCCAATTTTAAGCACCATGTTGAGTACGCGGCTGACAAAGCTGGCGGCATCCAGATGACATTAGTGAGGTTTATGCCAAATATTGGAGGCCCTAGATTCACTAACCGAAGGGTAATAGTCACGGTGCTAACTTCGATCATAATGTACGGAAGCCCAATTTGGGCCGTTGCACTCACGGTGATGGCAGTGTACCGAAAGGTGGCGGCAATATGTCGCCTTAGCGCCTTGAGGCAGATTTGCGCATTATGTACGGTGTCGGAAGCAGCTAGTTTTTGGCACGTAGAAGTCGTATTTGCTGCTACTAAGAACCAGCAGTATCTTTTGAAGATTTTCAACCTCCTGCTCGCAGAGCAAAAAAAAAAAAAAAATATATATATATATATACATATATATATGCACTCACCTACTTATACATAATCATATACATATATATACACTTACTTTGTATATACGTACCTTACATATTTTCTTATTCACCTGCTTGCATTATTCATATACATTGTTATATGTATTGTGAGGAACCAAAGTCGTTCCTCGGTTTGACCCCACAGGTTCTTCGTCTCTGAGGGGGAGTGCTAGAGTAAGTTAGGTAAAGAGAGTTAGTATTAAGTAAAGAGAAATCAGAAGAAGTTGAGAATAATTAGCGTAAGCTGAAGTGGAGGTTTGTCAGTGCTAGAGGAAGTGACAGAAAGTTAGTTGGTCGCGGGGTGAGTGAAAGAGTGGACGTTTTAGTCCAATAAATAACTAGACGTTTTGGTGCAATAATAAAGCAAATCACGTCGGTATTATTGTATTGTTAACGTTGGGGGACAATAACTTTTGGCATTTTTCTGATCTTGCCATTACATTTAATTATTATCTTTTTGAGTAGATTGTATACAAATACATAATAAAAAAAAATAGTTTGTTTAAGTAAACTTGACTAGACTTTAAGCTTAAATTAAATTTTTAGCATCAAATTGCATTTTGGCTAACAAAATTTTAATATATGAAAATGGAAAGGTGTTTCTGCTGAGATAATTTGCCAATAACTTCCTTGCGTCGTGTAGCAATGTTGAGATCTGCCTCCATAATTCACTTTTT